GATCATCACGCAGCCAGACTTGAATAAGACGGCAAGCAACGAACACTTTGACGCTTGGTAGCCCTTCGGTTAGCGCAAGGTTTAACGGCCACCAGAGGTTGCACTACCAAATCACTGACAGATAAAAGTGGATAATATAAAATATCATGGTCTTTTGGTGCAGCTCGGAAAATCTATAAGCGCATACTTTAAATTGTAGGACAAAGAAGACCACAAAACAAACCTTGGGTGGCGGTTCGGCGATGTCAGGACAGGAACCGGGTGCCTTCAAAACTAGAGAGCTGAACTGCGTCTTGCGATTGGTAAAACTTCCACCGCGAATATTTGCGCGACTGTTGGCTTCCTAGAACGAGGAAGTCAGAATAAGCCGGTGCACATTCATAAATGGCGGGGTTAAGGAGCACCAGCAAACCAAAAAACGGAGATTTGGAAATGGAACACAGCAGGACTTAAGTATTAAGCTCACAGCACTGGGTGGCCAGTTAAATTATCTGTCGGAAAAATAGGCAGGTTGGCGTTTGTTCCAAAGTGGAAGCCGAATTCACCAACGCTGACAAATACACATACCACCCTGTTTCGCTCGCCTAGGATTGTAGTCGTTGCGCTCAGCGTAGTTTTACGAAGGCACTGATTCTCGGCCACTCGATAAAATGTCGATCGAATCAAGTCGGTTGACTATCGATTCTAATGCAATTTAACGAAACATCAATTAGACTTAGTGAAAGAAACCACCTGAACATAAGTTAACTACTAAAACTGCGAACCCACTTAATCAGCCCTGTGTGACACAAGAGTAGTCGTACAATAATCATTTTACATTAGTAAGTAGGGTGAATTTTGACAAATTTTAATAATTCCTTTGACCCAATTACGAAAAATCCTGTCACCTTGGTGGAATTTGAACCGAGGACAGCAAGGGGAAGCCTTCAGTACAACCAACGCTCTAATCACGTATGCTACACGGTTCCGCTGGGAGTCATGCGGTTAATCACATTTGAATCAAGTTACTCACTCAGACTATTGCAACGTATAGAATCAAAAAATTATCATGCAGTAGACTGACTGGTGGATTATAGACTGATTACTTAATAAATCCTGCTTAGGCAGTCAGCTTAAAATAACGGAATTTGTGGACTTCGTACGTAATATTAGGCTTTATACCTGACTTAATCCAAATGTGATCAAACTCACGGCTAGGGATTAGGCTCCGTAGTTCAGTTGGTTGTTCTTAAGCCTTCCCGAGGCAGAGAGCTAGTTGGTCGGCAACTGCGGAACTCATCATATAAGCGAATTTCTAAGTATTCATATTTAGTGACATAGTTTGCGCAACCTCGTCGAGAACGGTCTTGAAAAGGAATTCTAAAGACTATGTATTTATCATCTCTGGTCAGCTGACTGCAATAACTGGGACCCCGTTAAAATGCGACATATGACCTTTGAGAAATACACGTCTCTACGGCCATTCTGGCAAAAGCAGTTTGCACAGCCTGAAAACCTGGAAGGTAGAATCTCCTTCGATCTTCAAAGATGGAGAGAATTACACAGCAACACAAATAAGTGCATACTAACCAACTTTTAAAAATGGGACCCGCGGTCTTGCTGCACGCCAGTTTACGGTTAGACCAAAATGAGAGATAGACAAGGGTCGAAAGCGACGCTGGCATTGCAGTCGTGCGAATGAACTCGAACTGAAAGGCGGCGCGACTCGCGGGAAATTTTTCAGCGGTCCCTATCGACGCATGCGGGTCTTAAAATGAGGCTACACCGGCCGCAAGTGAGAATACTCACCATTGGGGAATTGACTAATACTTATGAAAAATTGTGCAGTGTCCAACTTGCTTTATTGCCACAGGAACTGTTTCGATGACAAGGCAAAATCAAAATGATTAGAGATGGCGGACACGCAGCCGCTGAAAGCACACCTAGAAGGTGTTACACACGCCTTTTGATTTTAATAGACACACTAATCAAAATTTTACATATCGTCGCAGACCTTCCAGTGAACACGGCTGTTATAAAAGCCTGCGTA